GGCTACTCTCTGCTTCCAAGATGGCACCTCCAGAGGGAACGAATGCTGTATCCTCACATGACAGAAGGGACAGAAGGGACAAACTCACTTCCTTAAGTCCCTTTGAAAGGCACTAATACACTAAACTGTTCATCAGAGCAGAATCCTCATGGCCTAATAGCCTCTTTACAGGTCTCACCTTTTTTTTTTTAAAAAAAAAGACTTACTTTATTTAACTTTATTTATTTATTTATTTATTTATTTATTTATTTTAAAATTGACTATAGAGGGACAGAGAAAGAGAGCGAGAGAGAGAAAGTAAGAAAGAAAGCCACCAGGTCCAGAACTCAAACCGTGGTTGGCCAAGTGGGAGTCGAGCACCCTTAGCCACCATGCCTCCTGTGGGCCCCCAGGTCTCACCTTTTAAGACTGTTGCATTGGAGATTTTCAACGCAAATTTTTCAGGGGACACAAACATACAAACTACAGCAGTCCCTGGTCCAGCTATAATGAGATGTCCCTGCAAAGAGCCTTGGCTCTTGGCCATGATGGAAGGACAACCTGGGATAGGAAAGGACCCCAGGAGGAAGGTTCAGGTTGCACACAGGGACCTTGGAGCCCTGTTGAACTTCAACTTTGGAGAACAAGACAGCGTCCATGTCTGTCAGCCCCCCATGGCCTGACACACCTCAGCAGGGGACTAGCAGACTGTGCAGTGTGAACTGTGGTGACAGATGTTGGCCTCTGCCCACCTGGCTGTCATTGTCAACATCCAGGTTCCATGTCCTGGGCTTTTTGCCCCAGCATTCCCCTGCAAAGTAAGCCCCAGGAGAAACCTGGGATAACAGCTGACCTGCAGGCTCCCACTGAACCCTGTACCTCCCTGGCTGATACTGACTGCCCAGGAAGAAATAGCTGAGGCACAGAAGATGCACTGCTAAACCCTCAGCTGTTTCCATTGTCATGTTATTTGCATCTTATGGGCAGAAACTGAGCTGCCTTCATCTTAGCAGCTTCCTCAGCACCCAGAGCCAAGAGTCATATAGAACATGCCTAACAAGTGCTGGCACCAGCTGGTGTTTAGTATGACCAGGATTTGCATGTCACCTCTACTACCTGTTAGCTCAGGGTGTGACCTTGAGCCCTTCGCCTAACCACACAGACAACAATCTTATGGCAGCTGTCTTTCAGAGCCCATTGCTTTTTTGTTGCTAAAATGTACTTAAGTGTGGTGCACCCCATGGATTTAGTTCTTCCTATCCATGGACTGGAATATAACCACCACAGAATCTCAAGTTTAGTGGAGTGGAGCTATTAACGCAAGAGCAAGCAGATGCTGCCTCAGGACGCCCCTCCCAGCTGTAGGACGCTCCTCCCAACTGCCATCTCAGAGTCCTGAACATCTGCCATATCTGGTATGAGCTGTGAGTCAGTGTTCTGGACAACCCACTTGTCTAGTGTGATCTGGATTGACAAGAGAGACTCAATAGCCGAATTCAAGGGATGCTACTCAGATCCCACTGAAGTCCATTGTACTAAGTTGTGTGTGTGTGTAGCATATGTGTGTTCTATGCATGTGTGCATGCACAAAACTGGAATACTGGGTGCAACCCACCATGCTCACACTTCATTCTTTTCCTCTAAAACCACCCTGAACACGCACCACTGCTGAGTTGGCATTAGGAGGGCGACTTCCTAGAGCCACAACCAAGCTCTCTTTTTGAACTTGGCTTGGATAGGCAAGTGGGAAAGGAAGCTAATGTGGTACTGTAGCCCTCCCTGCTGCCTCTCCATCCCAGAGGGCATCTTGCTAGTTGAGGGCACATCTGACCCTAGAGGTACCAACCTGACTCAGAGGGAACACTTGCAGTAGTTGATGTAGTTCCTGAGATGCCTGGGACCAGCTCCTCATCCCAAAGGCTAATGGCCCTGAGGATCAGTATGGGTGCCCGGGGCTTCAGCAGCCACAGGCCAGGGCTAGACTCCAGCTCTACCAATCCCTGTCCACTAGATGTCTGGCTCGGTACCTGACCTACATTACATTCACAATAGCCACTGGTTTAAAGAATGAATTTGGGCAAGTCCACTGAGCTTAAGTCTAGATTCCTGTCCTGTGAACAGAAAGCTAGGGGAACTAGCTCCTACACACAAGAGTGTTGTGGGGAGCCTAGGAGATCACGTAGAGTGAAGACTGGAGTCAAGCAGGCAGGGTTCGAATCCTGCTTTCTCCTTTCTGACTGCATGATCTTGGGCAACCTCTATGAACCTGTTTCTTCATCTGTAAAATGGGAGCAG